GAAAATAGCCATGTGCTTCTTTTCAGGGCAGCAGAAGCATGCTCCAACCTCATCCTCCACCTCGTCTCCCCCTATTTTTTCCTGTGAGCGTGTCATCTGCGTCCACCTCCTCCTCGTCCTCCACCTCGCTCCCCTTGTCCACCTCAGTCTTCTTTTTCCTCCTCGTCCTTCACCTCGACATGTTCTACCCTCGCCTTCCACGTCTTTCTCCCCGTCGACTTCCATGTTTTTCTCCCTGTCGTTTTTCCCGTCGTTTTTCTCCTCACCCCCGCCCACCTCATCTTCATTTTCCTGTCAACCCTGTCGGACGACGGCGAGAAAAACGTGGAAGTCGACGGGGAGAAAAACGTGGAAGGCGAGGGTAGAACATGTCGACTTCCATGTTTTTCTCCCCGTCGTTTTTGCCGTGAGCGCGCCATCTGCCTCCACCACCGCCTCCTTCGCCACTTCAATCCCCTCGTCCACCTCGTCCTCGTCTTCCTCTTCGTCCTCCATCTCCACTCCTTCTATCTCCTCCTTCCCCTCGTCGTAACCATGGGATATCTTCCTCCTCTTCCGTACTCCCCGTTCTCCACGCCATCCCTCATCCTTCCTCGGCCTACATCCGCCATCCTCCCTCCTTAATATGCCGTTGGCGTCCTCTCTAAGACTTCTCCTTGTTCGTTCTCCTCCTCCATTCGCCCCGCGTGATGTACCAGACCCCCCGTCACACCTCTCCTCCTCCCCTGCCCGATTCGGGCGGGCGTTTCGGAGATACGGAATTTAAAAGGACGACGAAGGGGAGACCTCGCGCGCGCGTTCCCCCAATCCCCCTCCCCCGGCGCGATTCGAACCGGCGCCTCCAAGAGAGGGGAGGAAAAGAAAATAACATAGTCCCGCCCATTTTCCCAACAGTAGCAGGAGCCTCGTGAAGCCCGAGTTCCCGTTTATAAAGAGTATAGGACCAGGGGTAAAAACGGAAAAAACAGTAGCCGCTACTAGGGAGGTGATATGAGCAGCCCCCATCCAGCGGCCTGGCTCACTTGGTAAGGCACGCAAGTGGCATTGAGGAGGTCTTGGGTTCAATACCCACATGCCTCATGTACCTTCCTGGGCAAGCTTGGCACCCGCCACCTAGAGATATGCCGTTGGTCCCCCCGAGTGGCATTGAGTGGTGACTGCTGATGCTCATAGGGGAAGGGGACCGGAGGGGAGGCACAGGGACTGGCCCATCGAAGAAGCTCCGAGTGGCATTGAGTAGTGACTGCTGATTCTCATAGGGGAAGTGGACCGGAGGGGAGGCACAGTGACTGGCCCATCGAAGAAGCTCGGCCCTGATGCTACCGGCTGACCCCTGGCCGGTATCACCCACCTGGTCTAGGAGGTATCGCACCTGCTGGTGGGTGCAGCTCCCACATGTTCCCTCGTTGGAGGCTTGAGCACCTGCTACGGGGTTCCCCGTAATACTATAATGACTATGAAAAAGGTCCAGATTCGACAGGTAACTGAATTGGTTGGGCTTAAACCACCAGTACCTCGCCCAGCTATCAAGTCCGAGGCTCGGACTGCCAGTAGCCCGATCATTCCTGAGCCTCGGACAACCGGTAGTACATCACACACACAAAAAAAAAAACAAAAAAAAAAAACATGTAACATTCTACACACAAATAAAAAAAAGGAAATCAAACATGCCCAACGAAAATGAATCTTCCTCGATAAAGAGGAAGATTCGTTCTTGTGAGAGGTTCACAGAGAGAGAGAGAGAGAGAGGGCGTCAGAGAGTCCGACGCCGAGTTTGGTTCCGAGTTTGGTGCGCCAAACTTGGCGTCGGACAATGCGCATCCCTCCCCCCCCCACACACAACTATCAACATGTTCAAAATGAGAATGGACTTCTCTTCTTTTTTTTGGTAACTCTCTCTCTCTCTCTCTCTCTCTCTCTCTCTCTCTCTCTCTCTCTCTCTCTCTCTCAACCAACGTTCAAATGAGAATGAATCTTCCGTGGTATTCTCATTTCAACGTTGGTTGAGAGAGAGAGAGAGAGAGAGTGAGAGAGAGGGCATCAGATATTGTCTGACGCCAAGTTTGGTGCACCAAACTCGGCATCAGACACTCTCTGACGCCCTCTCTCTCTCTCTCTCACCAAACTCGGCATCAGACACTCTCTGATGCCCTCTCTCTCTCTCTCTCTCCTGTCTCTTATACACATCTAGATGTGTATAAGAGACAGCATCATGGCATGGTCCGACGTTCACTTCTTCACG